TTTTTTAATCAATTAATTCAGTAAAGGTGGATTCTTTTCATATCTGCTTAGTTTAAACCGAGCAGATTTTTATCTTATCAATCATGAATATTGTTAGTTTACCAAATGAAATTTTGCTTCTGATATTTCGGCAACTTTTTCAATCTAACAATATAATGTTGGTCGATTTACCAACAACTTTATCTATCAAATTAATATTATGCAAGTTCTATTATCTTTATCATTACCTTTTCAATTTATACGGAACCAAATATGTTTTGTTAAATACGGGTCCGGTTGAGGTTTACAACATCATAAAAAAAGATGATTATTATTTTCTATCAACAGTTTATTTGGAATCTATCGATTTTTAAATTTCATGGAAAGCTTAGAGATCCTCCTTTGTTTTTCGAAGTAACAAAATTTAAAAAATCAAAAAAGTTAACAAAAGTTACTTTTCACAAAAGATATTCATGTTGTTCTTGGTGTAAGAAAAACTCACTTTCATGCAAACCAGAATATCCTTGTGGATGTTTTGTAGGTGATTGTGAGAAGACCGAAGTTACAAAAAAAATATTCACTAATAGTCAAGGAGTAAGATATGTTAAATCAATCGCTCCTTACTGGTCGAGTAATATTTACCTGAGACATGTCGATGCGATAGATGATATCATAACAAAGAGATGTAGAAAATGTCGAAAGAAAGCTATTTGTTCTAAGGTTATGTTGTTAAATGGTACTTGTGATATAGCTATGTGTCCTTATAATCAAGTCCAAGAAATAATGTTCTCAGAGTTTTATCAAAGAGTTGATAGGATAGCTTATAAACATTTCATGTATGAACCATGTTATAATTTATGTCAAAAATCGGCCAATCTACCAATCACTATTCCAAACTTATGGAAACCCGATATCTCTTGGGAATTCATATAAGAAGGTGAAAAAAAATCCTTTCTTTGTAAAAGATTTAATATGCAACACAAAATTTTTGATAATAATCTACTTCCCATAAATGATTATATCGAATTGCAGAAAATCTATAAATCATTACAATGATCTAAGTTTTTGATAGATTATCTTGCAAATAATGAATATGATATTGACAAATTCAACAATATCATACTACTTGTTGAGAAGAGAGATAAGCTGAAACAGCAATCAAATATCTATTCTCTAACGGTCGAAACCATCCCTGAGTTAGAAATGATAATGATAATAGAAACATTATTTGATACTAAATTCGTCAAAGAGCATATATTTTATTAATTTTTTCATATTTTATTCTGTAATTTTATTACTTCAATTCAATTTATTTTCATTATTTATTAAAAAAAAAAAATACTCAGTTGAATAAACCGAGTATTTATTTTTTCTGATAAATATTAGCCACAAATATGTATTTGATAAAAAACATCCAAAGAAATTAAGTGAAATTGAATCATTTCATAATGATTACAATGATTTAATTTCACAACCATATCATTTCGAAAATGTGAAAAGATTTCATGATAAACATAAAAATATGTTATCAAGATCTTCTTACTTAATATGGGATTTTTCTGTTATTGACACTGATCTGAAATATTTAGGGTTAGTTGGAACCGCTGGGAATATACTATATATGATTGATAATACTGTTATTTAATTTATATTATAATTCTGTTCAGTGTTTATACCGAACAGAAACTTATCTTTGTAATTTAATATGCCTCGTCAAAAACGTACAAAAAAGAAACTTTCTCCTTACTCTATCAAACAAAAAGATAACTTTAATACTTTACCAAACAAATTATTTCTTTTGATATTCTTATTTCTGATCCCAAATGATATCACCAAATTCTCAAAATACAAATTAAATGATCGGAGATTTGTTGATTTTCAAAAGACAAAATTCGTGAATCGGCAATTTCTTTGGTTTTATAGATATTATTTTTCTCTATATGGAACAAAATATTGCTTGATACAAAAGTATAATCAACTTTATTATCCTCCCAAACGTTATAAATGGAATATTTGATATTGTAATATACATACTTGGATCGAAGTTGAAGTCGATGAAAACAATCAATCAACACGGCATATACTTCGCTATGCTGATCGCTATACTGATTTCAGAAAGTTGTATTGTATGTCACGTAGTGATATTTTATTATTTATCGAATCAGGTAAAGTTAATGGTTATTTCAAGGAGTATTTTCGATTGGAATAGTTTTTTTTTTCTAAATGATCGATTTTCAAAATACTGATTTAGAACGTTGTATGATATTTTATTATTTATCAAATAAATAAAGTTGATGGTTATGGGAAAAAAACATGTGATATCTGCAAAAGTTTTACATACTGTGCAAAATGCTCCTATGAATGTCGAAGAGATGACGTATCAGAATTAAGAGATAAATTAAAAATAGTTCAATCAGAATATACTATAGGAGGAGGATATATAGCGTATTTTGTAAGAAATTGTAAAAAATGCCGAGAGCATTTATTATCATTAATTTCGAAATATTCATATACTTATATCCGTTCAGTTTAATTACCGAACGGAAATTTATTTCTGTAATTTTTCATTTAACAGTTAAAATTTTAATTATATAATTTTGAAATGAATTATTTTTATTTAATATTTAAGAATCGATAT